CCATTCCTGATAACACCCAAGAAATGACCACCCCTCTTTTCCCTGTGCCCTCCCCTCTGCTGGGGCTCCCACTGGCCTTGGATCCAGTGGTCTGTCTGGATCTACCTTTTACCGTGGTCTAGGGGTCTGGCCTTTATGCCTTCTCAGAGTTCTCCAGGACTAGGCTCCTTTGCTGCCAATTTGGACCGAGGTCTTAGGGATCCCAAGAGTGAATCCTGATGCATGGTTGGCCTGAGTTCTAACACATAATAAGCTGCCTCAGTTTCCCCTCCTTAACCTTAGCACTCTAGGGCTGCTCGAGGACCTTCCCAGTGGCTAGGCCTTGGTATCCAACTCAACTCTTGCAGTCTCTTTCTGTCTGACTTGCTGGCGTGTTGATTAAGGCCATACCTCACATGGACAAAGAGCCCTCAGTGATGATCTGTCAGCTGGCTCCTAAATATCAGCCACAACCTGAATGTTCAGGGCATTCCTCTGCCTGACTATCTACCTGCCTGGGGGGCTTACCTCTTCCTAGAGTCTTATATGACACTTCCCCACATTGGTGTCCCTGCCATAGTTATTGGGTCAACTCTTGTTTTCTTTGCTCATCAGACTCTCCCCACCTCAGCCTTTGCCCTGCCCATCTCTGGCAGCCCTCTGCCCCCCAGCCTGGTCAGCATTTCCTTGCCATTCAGATTGAGCTTAAATGTCACATTTCTGTTCAGTGTTGCCTGACCTCTTCCCATGTCTTTCTAGATTCTCACCCCATTTCTTGTTCCTCATCACACTACAGATTTGGAATTCTTTTATTTGGGTCATTGTTCCTTATCAGTTTCCTCATTAGAATGAAAGCTCCTGGAAGGCGGGGACCTCACTTCTTAAGCTCACTGTTTTATTGGAAGGCATGGAACAGGTTCTTCAACACAGCAGGTGCTCACTGAGCTACTTATGAATGATTCTTGATTGCTGAGCCCCTGTTATGCCTGGTCTATGCCAGGGGGAGAAGATGCAATGGATTTTTGTGCAGGCTGAATTGGAGGCTGTCCACTTGGAGCCATCCAACTCCCTCTGCTGGAACCGTCCACCTGATCTGTCAAGTAAACTCCTAGATTCAGCTTGGAATTGCCTCTCAAAAACCTTACCTTGCCCTGACCCCCAGAACTGTACCCCTTCTCCCTTGCTGTCAGAACACCTCTTCCCAACCTTTAATAATGCACATGTTGTACAGCATCATATGCTTGTTTGCTGACCTGTCTTACTTCCCAATTAGACTGTGGAGCTCTTGGCCAGCAAAAATTCTGAGTGGGATTATACAAGTTGGTGAGTGTGTTAATAAACTGGATATACAAATCTGGTATGCAAGAGATAAGTCAGGATTAGTGATGCAATAATAAAATCAACTAATACAGGGCCCTTTATCCCAAAACCACATCACTGAAGAAGCCTTTGAAACTTTGGCCAGTCGTGTGCAAAAGAGCTCATTTCATCATTATTGTGTCAAATTAAGTCTATTCGGACCATCCTCCAATCACATGCTTCTATTCATTAGCCTGGGATAGAAATTCAGAGTTGTGTCCTGGTTGTGACATTCTCAGTTCTTGACCAACTCTATTTTCATCTAGCCTGAGTTACAGTCAGTAGCTCTTGTGAGTCCAGCAGCATTAATCATAACAGCGTCTGTACTGGAGAGGACGCCCATGTCATCCTGCCCACGATAGATTAATGACGCACAGCATGAGGGTTAGCTCAGGCTCCTTCTTTCCACTTTCAATTCATTGATGAGTTTATTCTGTGCATCCCTTGGCCACTATGTTATCACAGATTGAAACTCAAAACCATAATTCATTTGGTAATTTTATGTGTATCATTCCAAAGATGAAAATTTTCATTGTGAAAGAAAAGCAGTTCTTTATTCACCAGCCATTTGCAAGTTGTGTAGTACATTGCAGGCATTGTGCTAGGACTTGAAGCCAAGGATGAGTGCGGTGTGTCCTTGTCTTTGAGAAGCTGATAGTCTGAAGGGTGATGCAAGACACGAGGGCAGGTGCTTCCATTCTGTTTTGGTGAGGGCCTTGGTAGGGTGAAGTCTAGGAGGATGAATACAAACAGGTCAGATAAAGGATGGGGAACAGGGATTAACAGCAAGAACAAAAGACTGGAAAGCGTGGACCAGGAGTGGTGTGAGACCAGACCAGAGCCATCTCTGGATCCCACAAGGCACTCGAGTTTTAACCTGTAGACCAGCGTTTTTCAAAACATCTTTGAGGGAATACTTGTTCTGTGAGATGATAATTGTTCGTGCATGGTGAAAGGGTTTCCTGATTAATTTGAGGAACACTGATTTTAAAGGACAGCCTTAACACTGTTCAGTTGGTACCCGTTTTTCCCAAGTGCTGTGCACCATCTTGTGACAACTGCGGGGACAGACGGGAACAATACATATTGTCCCCTGCTTGGAGCTCGTAGGCCAATAAGGAAGATGGGAATTAAGCAAATGGCTGTCAGTGATTTCTTTTCCTTTTTAATTTATTTGTTTTCAACCGTGCCGGGTCTTTGTTGCTGGGCAGGCTTTCTCTAGTTGCAGTGAGTCGGGACCACTCTAGTTGTGGTGCACGGGCTTCTCCTTCTTGTGGCTGCTCTTGCAGAACACAGGCTCCAGGCGTGTGGGCTTTCGTAGTTGTGGTGTGTGAGCTCTGGCGTTGCAGCTCCTGGGCTCTAGTGCACAAGCGCAATAGTTGTGGTGCACAGGCTTAGTTGTTCCACGACATATGGGATCTTCCTGGATCAGGAATTGAATCTGTGTCTTCTGCACTGACAGGAGGATTCTTTACCACTGAGACAGGAGGAAAGCCCTACAAATGATTTAAGTCTGTACAAGTGAGCCACATCCCAGAAAGGAGTTCATGTTATAGGGTATAAGCTAAGAGGTTAATAAAGACAAGAATTAACATTCTTTCAGCCCATGCCATTAGGGAGACACTGGGCTGAGGGCTTGACAATCATTATTATGTTTTCACAAAGCTAATTAGGGCAATGTGCTGGGTGATATTGCATTTCCTGATGTTGGACATCGTCACAGAGCATTTTTCAAATGGATTTGAGCACGGGACCTTTTCTTTTTCTATTTTTTCCCCCCCACAGATCACTCATTCAATTCTATGGCAATTTTGTCTGCGGAGCCATTGATGGGTTCCTAGCCGTGGGGAGATACGGTTAAGTTCAACTTTCCAAATGGCAGAAGACATGAACTTTGTGACCCCAGTGACTCAGACATGTTCAGAAGTTTTAGAAAGAATCTTCAAACTTGCCAGTGCATAAGACTTACCTTTGCTTTCCCAAATACTGGCCCATTCAATCTGAGTTTCCTGGAGAACAGTCTGTAGCTTTTATAAGCTCATGGCTACATAGAAAACTGGTGCTGTTGGTTACATCTGGGGTCAGGTCCTGGGTGACTGGGTGACAGCAACAGGAGGAAGACTCTCCACTGTAACATAGTGGACCAAGGTTACATATTACCTACTACAAAATAAATGTGGAAATTAAAGAAGTCTCTGTCGATGGTCCAGATGTAGCCAGGATTGAGAACCACTGGTAGAGTTAAATGGTGAATTAAAAGCAAAATAGTGTGAAAAAAGTAATTAAGACTTTCTGTTATAAATAAGATGTGCCAGGATTGATTTGGGCATTAGGAGGTTATTAGCCTTAAAAAAGGCAACTTTCTGGTGATGACGCAGAGAAGTCAGACCATGACGGATTAATGAGACAGAGAAACAGAGAGTGGAGGATTGTCTGGGGGGAACCCTGACCTGTCTACTCACTAGCTGACTAGCTGTGATACTTGGGAAAGGTTCTGAGTCCTGGATTCCTTCCTGTAAGGCAAGAATAATATTAGCTTAGAGGGTGATGGGAAAATCAAATGAAACAATAACTGAAGGTTTTACACACACACGCACATGCATGCACATGCACACAGCAATGAACATGGTTGCTGTTTTTCAGTTGCTCGGTTGTGTCCAACTTTTTGCGACCCCGTGGACTGCAGCATGCCAGGCTTCCCTGTCCATCGCCAACTCCCAGAGTTTACTCAAACTCATGTCCATTGAGTCGGTGATGCCATCCAACCATCTCATCCTCTGTGGTCCCCTTCTCCTCCTGCCTTCAATCTTTCCCAGCATCAGGGTCTTCTCCAATGAGTCAATTCTTCACATCAGGTGGTCAGAGTATTAAAGCTTCAGCTTTAGCATCAGTCCTTCCAATGAATATTCAGGACTGATTTTCTTTAGGATTGCCTGGTTTGATCTCCTTGCAGCCCAAGGGACTTTCAAGAATCTTCTCCAACACCGAAGTTCAGAAGCATCAAACATGGTGAATGTGGTGCCTCATGCAATGCGAGCAGATAGGGTTGATGCAGACATTTTGGTTGGGAGAGCAAAAGGCTAAATTATAAAAATGAAGGTACTTCAAGATCCTGCAGAAGATAGAAGGGAAAGGGAGCAAAAGTACCAGCTGAAAGTATTTCTTGGAAAGGATTGGGACCCCTTTCCTTTTGGGGAAGGGGAGGAAGGAGAGGCTGGGTGGGTGTAGCGGTGACAAGGCAGCAGAGACACCTGGAGGGAGGAGGGAAGCTGAAGGAGACACAGGTAAGAGCCCTTACTTCTCTTTTCTGCAAAGAAAGAGGCAAGGTAAGAATTGCATAAAATGTTTCAAGTACCAACAACATTTGATGCATGAAAGCCATGTTTCTGGTTACAATAAACTGGGGGCGGGCATCATATCCGGATGGAAATACAGACAGCCTCCCTTGTGTATCACCCCCTGCTTCACCTGTTTGCTGCGTTACCTCCAGTACAGATACCTTCAAGGGCCATTTATTTATTCAGACCTTTTATTTTGAGGCTACTGGGCGGCAGGTACCAGACCAGAATGGTCATCACACTGAGGACAGCACAGCGCCGTGGGGTGGGGGGAGTAGGGGAGAAGAGTGCAGTTCACCTCTGCACATGCATGGTCTGTGAACTTAGAAACTCAGAGAAGGCTGGATGTTTCCGGTGCAGGAATTGTGTGGATTTCTCTTTGCAGGGGTGTGTTAACACCTACTTATTTCCCCAGATGAGCTGACTGAAATGAGACTGTGAATAGACTTGAGTAGACATGTCCCATTTGGCCCAAGAAAGATGCTGGCACGCTGTATCAAAGAGCCTGGAAAGGAATATGTGAGTCAAGCTTCAAAAAAATTCCTGAAACATAATTGTCTACTTTCTTAACAAGGAGAACAGTAGTGTTCAATCCTTTCAGACCCAGTGTCCCCTTCCTAGCAAATACTTCACTATTCTGAAGTGAGATTCATAGACAATATAGCTTACCTACATATGTTTAAAAAAAAAATCACACCCAAACTATTATACAGGAGAAATTGAAGTTGAGTAAGTTCCTGTTAAGTATGTAATTCTCCATTTGAATCCTTGGGCGTGGCCACATCAGTGGCACAATGAAGTATGCATCCTGACGCTTATATGGATAGTCACCATGGATGTGACCGCTGAAAACATAGGCTGATTTGGGTTTTATTATATTGGTAACTCAAATACCATGCACAATTTTGGTGATGGTGATGCAGGTTTCCAAAATGGCAAAGAACTTTTAATAAAGTTCTGAACAAAAGAAATCCATCAATTTTCTCAGCAGATGCATTTTGGAAAATTCAGTGAAGAGTGAAAAAATGCAAAAGCCACTCAAAGATAAGATATTTTGTGTTCATATGTAACATGGCATTTGGTTTTAGCTCAGATCATTATTGACAGGCTTTTCACCTACATGAATGTCTAGCGGGAATGTGGAAAGTCCCATGGCACTCTAGGCGAGTCTTCGTTGTGTGGGACTTTTTCTGCAAGCTGCAGGATTCTGCCGCATCTGGCTGTCCACTCCAAGCCTGGTGACAACTGAGAAAACACCCCGGAAGTTTCCATAGTGTCCACCAGGGGGTGGCACCGTCCCCTTTGAGAACCGCTGCTGTGTATTGTGTGACTGTAACTGAACTCTACACCGATTAATTAATTAATACACTACACTATTAAATGCTTGTTGGATAGAATGGCTAAGAGTGTTGCAGATCCATGCAACCATCATTTTGAACTTTAAGTCACACCATGGAGAGGCTGTAGATACAAATGGAGATCCAGACAGGGATAGCCAAATGTTTTAATCTTGCAAGCCTGTTCCAACTGGTTGGTGGTTGCTTTAATGCTATACACAGAATAATTCCTGAGGTAGTCTCCAGCTTGTTCAATCATTCAGGAACTATTTACTGAGTGTCTGTGCTAGGCACTGTTCTAAGAGCTGGCGGTCCAGTAGTGAGTAAAGCAGACAGATTCAGACCCTCATGGAGCTAAATTTTTGAGCTCAGGAGGAACTAACATTAAAAGTGTCTGCAGTGGGATCAGCAACCCACTAGCTACAAACTTGCTGGACAAGGAGAGTTAATCTGCTAACCCAGGAACTCTCGTGGAATTTTATTTTAAAAGATTAAGTGTCCCTAAGTTTATTTCTCTATATTCTGTCATCTTTTCAGAAAGAGAAACAGAAAATGAAACAAAACAAACATCTTTTAGTTCGTTGAGAATTATGATTATTTGAGTTCTTATCCACAGAATTATTCTATCATTGAATTTTGTTTTAAAATGAAGCATCTACATTGCCATATTTTAATTAATTTTTGACCATGCGGGGTTTTTGTTGCTTCGTGTGGGCTTTCCTTAGTTGCAGTGAGCAGGAGCTACTGTCCAGTCGTGGTGCGTGGGCTTCTCATTGTGGTGACTTCACTTGGAGAGCATGGACTGTAGGGCCTGCAGGCATCAGTAGTTGAGATGTGTGGGCTCAGTTGCTCCACCTTCCTGGCCCAAGGATCGAACCCATGTCCCTTGCATTCACAGGCACATTCCTGTACCAGGAAATCCTGATTCTATCATTTTAAAGGAAGCATTAGAATTAATGACCACATGTCACTTGACAAGAAATGAGGGCTTGGTCAAATCAGAAGCAAGAATTTATCTCAAAATAAGACAGCCAGACCTACTGTCAACTAAAAAAAGATGTACAACTTGAGAGTTGTGAGTTAAGCTTTATTTGGGGCAAAATGAGGACTGCAGCCCAGGAGGCAGAACCTCAGACAGCTCTGAGAGATGCTCCAAAGTGGCAGTGGGGGAAGGTCACTATATGAGGTTTTGATGAAGGCGGACTTCACTGCCATGAAGCACTCATTTTACAAAAGATTTCTGTTAGTCATGAGAATCTGATGTCACGATGAAGGATTTAGTGCTTCTCTAGATATGAGGAGATGCAGGGATTGAGATCATAAAGTCTGTTCTTAAAAACTTCAGTTCAGTCGCTCAGTCATGTCCATCTCTTTGTGACCCCATGGACTGCAGCACACCAGGCCTCCCTATCCATCACCAACTCCTGGAGTTTACTCAAACTNTTCCACCAATTAAAATATTAAGAAAACTGATGATGTGAAGATGTTTTGGACACAGTAAAATTAAAAAGAAAAACAAGGACAAATAAATATATTTCTAATTCTAATATGCTAAATTCACTTAAATATAATTCTAACCCACATAACATAACTGGCAAGGAGGTCAAATGTAGTGATATTGAGACTTCAGTTATCAAGGGAGCTGCTAGTAAAATCATTCTGCTAAAAGTGGGATGCCGAATAATTTCTTGGCTTGCTTGCTGACTGTGTCATTTCACAGAAAGAGGAGGTACTGACAGAGGGAGCTGCATGTCTGAAATTAATTCTGAATATAAGGGAGGGTGACCTGGTCAGGTGGACATCACAAGGAATTTTCTCCAGTTTATTGTGATCCACACAGTCAAAGGCTTTGGCATAGTCACTAAAGCAGAAATAGATGTTTTTCTGGAACTCTCTTGCTTTTTTGATGATCCAGTGGATGTTGGCAATTGATCTCTGGTTCCTCTTTTTTTTTCCAAATCCAGCTTGAACATCTGGAAGTTCACGTATTGTTCAAGCCTGGCTTGGAGAATTTTGAGCACTACTTTAATAGCATGTGAGATGAGTGCAATTGTATGGTAGTTTGAGCCTTCTTTGGCATTGCCTTTCTTTGGCATTGGAATGAAAACGGACCTTTTCCAGTCTTGTGGCCACTGCTGAGTTTTCCAAATTTGCTGGCATCTTGAGTGCAGCACTAAAACATCCAACTATCTAAAGACCTAAAAACATCCAACTATCTAAAGACCTAGAACCATCCAACTATCTAAAGACCTGTCCCACCAGATTCCCTGGAGCACAGAGTGCCTCACTCCACCCTGAACTCTCTCAGGGGTTGTTGAAGGTCAACAGCTATAGTAGCATAGTAGCGTAGGGTTTAATCTCCATAGAGGCAGATGGCAAATGCCTTTGTTGTTCAGTGGTTGGCAGTGCTCTTGGTAAGTGCCGATTTGTAGTTGACACTATCAAAACTTGTGAACATCCTGTCTCTATGAAGACCTGGCCACCAACATTCCTGGGCAGACCTTGAGAGTAAGACCCACATCCCAAGCCACTGAATGATAAAACAGACCTACTGTCAGGAAAAGCTGGGCTTTGCATTTGATCCCTTCTGGAGTCTTGGACTCACCCTTCCCTACTGTGGCTTTGTGATTGGGTCTCTGTGTCCTCATCTGCAGAATGAGTGCCTACCTCCCTCCTTGTGTGGTGTAACTGAGGGAAATGATGTTCCCAAGCCACTGAGCACAATGCCACAGTCCGGGGCTGCTCAGAGTGCCTCAGCTATTATAAGCTGTCTAAGAGAAATGGTTGAATAGCATCACCTACTCGATGGACATGAGTCTGAGCGAGCTCCAGGAATTGGTGATGGACAGGGAAGACTGGCGTACTGCAGTCTATGGGGTCGCAGAGAGTCAGACCCGACTGAGCGAGTGAACTGAACAGAAGAGAAGTGGGGTGAGGGCAGATGGTTGGGTTCTTTTTCTTTCTAGCTGTCACTCAGCTAGCTGAGGTGGGGTTGTTCTCACATTATTGTAACTCCAGGAGGAGAGATGACTTGTCCTTGAAAACTAACTTATGGTTGCATGTACTTTCTTGTGGCTAAATTGTGTCCAACTCTTGCTACCCCATGGACTATAGCCCACCAGGCTCCTCTGCCCATGGGATTTTCCATGCAAGAATATTTGAGTGGGTTGTCATTTCCTATTCCAGAGGGTCTTCCTGACCCACGGATTGAACTTGGGTCTCCTACATTGCAAGCAGTCTCCTGCATCACAGGTGTATTCTTTACTTGATTGAGCCACCAGAGAAGCTTCATATTTTTATTGGATCTTAAAAGTGGAAAGAGATGGGACTACCAGATCACCTGACCTGCCTCTTGAGAAACCTGTATGCAGGTCAGGAAGCAACAGTTAGAACCAGACATGGAACAACAGACTGGTTCCAAATAGGAAAAGGAGTACGTCAAGGCTGTATATTGTCACCCTGCTTATTTAACTTANCAGCCCTGGGTGTTCATCGGAAGGACTAATGCTGAAGCTGAAACTCCAATACTTTGGCCACCTCATGTGAAGAGTTGACTCATTGGAAAAGAACCTGATGTTGGGAGGGATTGGGAGCAGGAGGAGGAGGGATGACAGAGGATGAGATGGCTGGATGGCATCACCGACTCCTTGGGCATGAGTTTGAGTAAACTCCAGGAGTTGGTGATAGACAGGGAGGCCTGGCGTGCTGTGATTCATGGGGTCACAAAGAGTCGGACACGACTGAGCGACTGAACTGAACTGAAAGGTGGAAAACACTTTAAATATCTACTCCAACCCCTGCATTGCACAGAGGAGTAAGCCGAGTGTCAGGGAGGTCTTCTGATCTGGATCAGAAGCAATGTTTAGGATCCCAAGACCAGGCCTCCAAGACCTATCAAATCTATAACCCATGACCCAGGGTTTTCTAGTGCATGAATTATAGGACCACACGTATTAGGATCACATGAGGAGCTTTTCAAAATGCAGGTTCCTGGGTCCTACAGCTCAATGATTTGATCAGAATCTCTAAAGATGGGGCCTTAGGTCACCCTTGAAATCAAGTACCACTCACATAGTGATCAATGACCTTGACTTACATTATTATAAAATATGTCTGTCCCCAGTGCTACCTGGTGAAGACTTGATCACAGTGGATTTCAAACAAGATCATAAATCAAGGGCT